TTATATATATATATATATATATATATATATATATATATATATATATATATATATATATATATATATATATATATAGTACACATAATAGCAAAATAATTCAATTTTATTTTCATTTGTTTATTATTTTAAATTTATATTCATGGTTGTGTTGGACACATATTATTATTAGTATATATATATTTATCGTATTTTCACACCATTCAAAAATAAAAACTTTAATATAACATTTTTTTAAAAAGAATAATAACTGAGTGAAAATCTTTGTGAGGGACTCTGATTCCCACCCCAATTTTTGTGTAAAGTAAATGAAAATTTTCGCAAGATGGGAAAGGCTTCCACGCCCCTAAAGTGTCTCGCCTCATAGACATCTCTAATTATGTTTTCTTAATATTTGAATATTTGTCACGTTATTGGTTGATATACAGCTCAAACTAAGCCTATAAGATACGAGGTCTTTTACATGTTTTTTTTGTTCGTTGTTCAAAATGTCCCTTTTAAAAATATTAGGGATGACATAGATTAAGAAAAAAATAAAATATCAAAATTTACTCCAAGAATTAGATGCCATAGGCAAAAATGAATAAACTGGACTAAATTTAGAATTGTGGGCTTGGCCCGCCCAGTTAATACTGGACTAAATTCATCAAGTAAGCAGTCTGGGCCAACCCAGACCAGCCCATTTAATACTTAGTGGGCTTGGCCCGTTTATAAATCGCTTAAATGGGCCTTCTTCGGCTGATATAATTATATGACAATAATCAGTATTATTTTTTAATAATTTTTTGGATTACGTGTTGGTTTGCAGTTAACTCCGTTATTAAGCTGATGAGGTGGCAATAGCCAATGGATAAGGGTGAAGAGAGGCTAAGCAGCTATCTGGAGCTGATAAAGCAGCTCGAACCATTCGATGGTTGGGTCCCGCCGAATCCTTCTTTTTCCTCGAATCTCTCTTTCCGAGAGATATCCACTTTCGAAAACTGAATCAATTCTCCAAAAACCTCTACTGTCCGCCATTGATTCCTTCTGTAAATATTCATTGCTAGAAGTTCCTGGATTGTGGATTGTTCTTTCTAGTTTCTTTCGTTTTTTTTGTTTCCATGGCTGAGGTGAAGAGATCGAGCGGCACTGTAAGGTGGTTTAGCGCGCAGAAGGGGTTCGGATTCATAGCTCCAGATGATGCTACTGACGATCTTTTTGTTCACCAGACGTCCATTCAATCTGAAGGATTTCGAACTCTTTTCGATGGTCAAGCGGTTGAGTTTGCCATTGATTATGACGAAGATCAACGCGCCAAGGCCGTGGATGTTACTGTAACGGGTAGATCTAGCGGATATGGAGGAGGCCGCGGGGGTGCGAGAGGTAGAGGCGGCGGTTATGGGAGGTTTGGTGGAGAAGGAGGTTATGGTGGGCGTGGTTTTGGCCGAGGAGGAGGACGGTACGACGGTCCAAGCGGTGGATTCGGCGGCGGGGGTGGTGGTCGTGGCGGTGGTGAGTGCTACAATTGTGGCCGGATGGGTCATTTGGCGAGGGATTGTTATAGGGGAAATGGCGGTGCGCCTCCTAGCCGTGGAGGGGGTCGTGGATACGGCGGTGGTCGGGGTTATGGCGGCGGCGGCGGCGGTCGTGGTTGTTACAATTGTGGAGATACAGGACATTTTGCTAGGGATTGTCAAAATGAAAGCAAATGAAGAATCTGGGTCTTCCTTCAAGCGGTATTTACACTTATTCTTATGATTATTTTGGTTGGACTGTTAATTTTTTGGTGCGAATTCTGGGATTTTAGTGTGTTGGTGACTGCAAATCTGGTACTGAGGGCACGAGAATCCGTGGCAATTAAGCATAAGGCTTCGATTGTTCACTGTTTCTGGTTCTGGGTGTTCCATAATTTGTTGTTCAGAATTCGATGATGAATGATGCAATTGTTTGTATATGATGCTATACCTTTCCGGCATTTCTAATTCATTCTTCCTTTGATTATTGTGATGTTCTTAACATGTTATACAACATGATATGTGTAATCCATCATGATTAAATGTTCATGCCATTTTGTATGGAGTTCTATCCTTGGATTCTTTGGGCCGAACTTCCATTATTGGAGTTGGGATTACTGCCTCGTTTACTTTGTAATGTTAGAAATCACAACACTCCATTTTGGTATGACATCGTTCACTTTGAGCATAAGCTCTCGTGACAACACTCCATTTTGATATGACATCGTTCACTTTGAGATAGTATTCCTACAATCCTTTGTGGTCTATGGAGTCTTCGAACAACCTCCCCTTAATCGAGACTCTTTCTCTGGTGCCCTTGAACAAAGTACAACATTTGTTTGACACCTGAGTCACTTTTGACTACACCTTCGAGGCTTACAACTTCTTTGTTCGATACTTGAGAACTCTATTGACATAGCTAAGTTAAGGGAAATACCCCAATAACATGTTAGAAATCACAACCCTCCACAATGGTCTGATATTGTTTACTTTGAGTATAAGTTCTCGTGACCTTATTTTTGGTTTTCCAAGAAGACCTCGTACCAATGTACATAGTATTCATTTCCTATAAATCCATAATCTTCTCCTTAACGTGGGACTCATCTCTTCAACACGAAACACCCCAAAGAAGAAGCTGATCGTATTTTAGATATCTTTCCAAGTGTTTGGCAGGAGAAGCTAAAGCCACTTCAGGGCTTCCGGACTTGAATTTTCTCCTATTTTGAGCATAGAAATCTCAGCTGCATCAGTGTAGGGTACATAGATTACTAGCCACATTCCAACTGTGTCATTATATTTGAAGCTTGAGAAAAATGGAGATTGTATTCAATCCAGTTCTGCTCTGTTTTCTGAGAACTTCTGTAATTGTTTGGGCTTCTGCTTCACTGTTTTCTGCCAAAGTTGGATCCATGAAACTTCTAAATGAATGGTAACGTTCTTAATTGTTGATAGGTTTGTTAGACGAATACGACTCTCCATAATAGTATGATATTGTCCACTTTGAACATAAGCTCTCATAGGTTTACTTTGGACTTCTCCAAAACGCCTCATAATAATAAAGATAGTATTTCTTGATTATAAACTCATGATCATTCCCTAAATTAGTCGATGTGGTACTTTCATCATCCAACACCTCCCCTCGAACAAAGTACGCCTCCCCTTAATCGAAACTCGACTCCTTTTTCTTTTGGAGTACTTTGTTCGACATTTGAGGATTCTATTGACATGACTAAGTTTAGGATATGACTCTGATATCATGTTAGATGAATACGACTCTCTATAACGATATGATATTGTCTACTTTGAGCATAAGCTCTCATGACTTTGCTTTGGGCTTTCCTAAAAGATCTCGTATTAATGGGGATAGTATTCCTTGATTAAAAACTCATGATCATTCCAAATTAGTCGTTGTGAACTTTCATCATCCAATAGAATTTATGAAAATGATCAACCTTTTTAGACTCAACAAGCGTCATCTTTTATATATGTTCAAGATTTATGAATCTCAGCTCTTGGTTTCTTGTCTTCATGAAATCAATCGTATGCTTTTAGCTGTAAAAACTATATTGTAGGGTTAATTAAGAGTAATGAGCGTATTCACATAGTTTACTGAAAAACTTCTGTGACTCTCGAGTAAAGGATGAGAGCAGTCCTTGAGAATAAGTCATTAAGAAAGACTTTAAAAAATTGAAGCTATTACCTATACTAACAATATATCCCTTCCTTTTCGGTGGCTTAATGATAGGAACGACCTAGTTTACTGAAATGCTATTTGTGACGCTCGAACAAATGATGGTGCATTAATGAACCAAAACCACATTGGAACCAAGAGTGACCCTAAAGATAGGATCCTTAAACAGTTATTACTTATATTGGTAAAATATACTTTCTTTTTCAGTGACTCAACTATAGAACATGTTTAGTAAGAATAGTTTTCACTCTTTTAGGACCACATTAACTAAAAGTTAATTTGACATGTCTTTAAAGTGTCGATATTTTACGGCGACGAGTATTTTGTTAAAATGACCGTGATTTAATTAAAATTAAAAAAAAGAAAAAAAGAAAAAAAAGGCAATTCAAATGGTTTAAGTGGAAATATTTACTTAATTTTCTTTTAAAAAATACAGTTTTTACTGTTCACGGTAAAAAGAGGTAGAGTAAACCATGGTCAAACACAGCTCATTTTGAAAGGTTGTTACCCAAATATCCCACCACTCAAACAAACATTGAAAAATTGTCATGTTGACGTGGCAGTACACATCACGTGCTGTCAGAATCTATCTCTGACATTGTGCACGTAGAAAAGCCTTGTAGAAGAAGGGAAGCATCCATCTTTACTTTTTATTTATTTATTAATTTTCGTTTCAGTTTTTAGTTAAAAGATAAATAAAGAGACTCAGATAGAAATATATTCGATGGAAAAGATGGAAAAAAGAAAAAGAAAAAAAAAAAGAAAGAAAGAAAAAGGTGTTATCTTGGAAATTTCTCAAAAGGGGTATATCACATGTGACGGCCAATATCCAATGGATCCGTTACACGTGTAGCCAGCGTGGACCCTACGCTGGATTTAACCTGCTGACTCATGCTTGGTCAAAGAAAAGGCGTATTGGTGGTCAGAGAAAAAAGGTTCAATTGTCACTGTTACCTTTTTGGGTACGGGCCTGGGTTTGTAGGCCCATTTATTGACAAAATTATCATAAGCCCATCAACTCAATAGGGCCCACTCATCAGCCCAATGCTTTTGTACTATTTACATAGGGAGCCCACATAGAGGCAGCTTTTGCAGGGACAGTTCCCAAAAGGACTCTGACGTGGCCTTTTCTTTTTCCCCATAAAAGAAGCCTTTAGAGAAAAAAAAATAATAATAATTATTGGACAAAAATTCAATAAATACTTTCAAAATTAAAACAACAAACCAACCATAGTTCCAAGCTTCGTTTGATTTGTTTTCATGGAATTGGTATCCAACTCTTTGGTCGAGAGATTCGTCGTGTGTATGTCTCACTTGATTGTACGTGTGGATTAGATTACAAAAGAGGTTTCCTTCAAAGTTTTAAAACATGTCTGTTAAGGATATGTTTCCACGTTCTTATAACGAATGTTTCGTTATCTTCTTCAAACAATGTGGGATCTCACAATCCACATCTATTGGAGGCTTAGCGTTCTCATGATACACCGCTCGATGTCTGACTCTGATATCATTTATAACAACTCAAGCCTACCACTAGCAAATATTATTGTATTCGGGTTTTTCCTTTCAAACTCCCCTCAAAATTTTAAAATGTGTTTGTTAAAGAGAGGTTTCCACATTCGTATAAGGACTGCTTCGTTTTCATCTCCAACCAATATGAAATCTCCAACCAAAGAAGCTCGTGTATTTATAACAAGAAATTATAAGATTTTGGCAATAGTGATAAACCTACTTGATAAATTCAAAAATAATGTCATTTCAAAAGTCGATAGTTTAATCTATTTCCCCGTAACTACATTTTGAGGTCGCATCAAACAAGTTTTTGAACTTCAACAAGTGTCTAACAGATCATTGAACTTCTAATTTTATGGCTAATACGTTCCAAAACATTAAAAAAGCATGCAATATAAGTTCCCGAACTTTGTCTTTTCTCTTTTGTATCTAAGAACTCGACATGTATAAATTTCAATAATTTGTAGTGTTGAAGACAGCTAGTTGGGGACAGTGTCCTCTCATTCTGTAGACGAACACAAACAACTTCTTTCATCTGTCGTTTATACAAACAACAACCAGACAACAACACCAAACGGATCAAACGGATCAGACGGATCAAATGATGAATAGAATCTCATATTCATGAAGAACAAGGCTTAACAGAGTTCTTAATATCAAAAGGGGAAAGCATACTTATGGACTCATCAGCTACAAACTCAGCTGGAGTGTCTTGTGTAGGGGTGGCCGACATTGCCATCACACCTTGTCTTAAAATCATCACCAATACATCAAAAAAGGAAGAAAAATTTAAGGGATTCCCAATCTCTTTACACACAAACATACTTATGTTCACTTTATCTCAGCTCAGTGCTTGGGAGAAGGGCACTGATAGCACTTGGTGAATAGCCCAAATGTGCTAACTTGATGAACAAAGTTGAGCATGCTAGCCCACCCTCCAAACCCAAATCCCACAATCAGGACCCACCCCACCACAAATACGTTCACAGAGTATAGCCCTGCCCAGCCACCCAACAATGATGGAGCTCTCTCCACTGCATTCTGTATAGAGAAAAAAAGGTGTTAAAAAGTTGAGAGAAAATGCATTGTGAATTGGAACAAAAGAAACTAAGTAACCTCTCTGGCTGATGGAGAAGCAAAAGTGACCATATGAGCTAAAGCAGGGATTATGTAGACGGTGAAGCTAACGAGAAGGGATCCGACCGTCGAGTTGATCGGTCCGAAGAACGGGAAAATGATTGCGAGAAACCATATCGGTATCACGACGGGTAGTCTCGTGAGAGCTCTCTTGATCAAGCTCTTTGTTTCATGTACTCTTAAGAATTTCTCCCACACAAAGTAGAGAGGTGTGCAGGCGAACCCAAATGTTATGAACTGTATAATCAAAGCCACATTGATAATGGACATCTCAATTCAAATGGGATTGTTTTTTTGTATAAGAATGTTACCTGATGGATGAGCATGAGGATCACGGCAGTGTCTCTAAAGCCATTCCTTGGGAGCAAAGCAAGAGCGTTTGAATGCGTCAAGAGGTCATCGCCAAAAGCCCAATAGACAGCTGAAGCTGATGGCAGTGTCAGTGTAAGCACGTAGAGCGTTGCCATCAAGTAAATGAGCTTGAATTTCTGGGGCTTCCACATGGCATGCATAATCTCCCTACATGAACATGAAAATTGAATACAAATTTGGTGGAAATGAATGTAATTCTAGAGTTATGTTTTAAAATGCTTACACTGTTACAGCATGTCCTCCAAAGGTGTAAAGAATGTTGGTGGCCCCAGTGAAGTACAGAACCATTTTACTAGGCCCTGAGTGCTTCACTCCCTCGACCTTCATGGAAAAAAAAGCAAACAGGATAAC